ATTGCAGGCCTTAAGATCCCGAAGTGCCAGCTCTCCGATATGCCGGACACGCTGGTTCACATGACTGAGTATCGCCACGTCCGTTCGATTCTGCAGTACGGTCTCCTTCCCGGAGGCGGCAGTACAGCCGGCAATAAGCAACGTAACATGAACCACTTTTTGCCGGTCGACGGACTCTTGGTCTCTTATGAACACATTCGACCAACGGCCAACGTGGCACTCGTCTTGTCTAAGGCAACGCTGGAAAAGCATCCAGAGCTCATGGAAGATTTTAGCCTGAGCAAGAATGGATACTTTTTGACCAAGGCCGTTATTCCGGCCGGTCTTTTCAGTCTTGCATGGGACATCCGAAACAATTGCTGTGGGATGTCCCTGATTCCACTCCAGCCATGTCAGTCCCCGATGAGCCGTACTTGCGTTTTTATTCTCAGCTCTATTGCGAGGTACTGAGGCTGGTAGGCAAAGGCCACGATAAGTTCAAGACTGAAACAAGGAGGCTTGCCTTTAAGAATATTAAGGTTCGCGAGGTCGAGGCATGGCGCAATGAGGCCGAGGAGAAACTTGATCGCCATCAGCTCCACGGCATGTCCAAGATCCACACTGAGACATGGCTGAATTTTCTCTCCCTCGACGACGACTGGAAGGATGATGCCACCAACATGCGTCGTCTCAAGAAACGCTCATTGTCGGAAACGACTGAGGAAGAGGGAGATGACCTGATCGATGTCGATGATGACGACGACATGGACGTCGACGCCGATATTCCGGCAGACGACGACGACGATGTTCAGGTCATAAGTACATTAGATGAAGCCATGGTGGACGACCTCGCAGAAGCGTGCCGGAAGGGCACCTGGGTCAAGAAAGGCACTGTGAAGAAGGAAGAGTCCGATATGCCGGACGATCCTTCAGCAGAAGCCTCATCATCTGCAGCAGTCAAGAAAGAAGAAAAGCAGAGCACACGGGTCTGGTCCTCCCGAGCAAGGTCACGAACCCCAACTCCTACTGTCCTTAAGAAGGCTGACCATGCGCCGGCAGCAGCTCGCACTCCATCCGAGGGTCGCAGGGTTTCGTTTTCCGATATTCCGGAAACGAAGTACATCGCAGCATCATCCAAGAAGCGTGCGACCTCGCGAGCGCGAGAGGTCATCAGCGATGCAAGGAAAGCTCAGAAAGCACCAACTAAGTTCCATCATCGCCCAGATGAGATGACCTGCTTAACCTGTGCAAATGCTGAAGTACTCTTCTTTTGCCGAGCATGCCGGCACGGCACATGCCTTGACTGCTACCACGATGTCAGTAACCATTGTTCATGCAACAGCATTTATCTCTGTTCGACCGTCCCAGACGCCGATATTCCGGCACCGCTGGGTGAGCACGAGCGCGAAGAGATCACAGCAGAAGTCGACTTCACGATTCCCTTCGCAGCCGAATCCGAGGGTTGGCACTCGGACGACCGATATGCCGGTCGATTGCACCGTTTGCAAGAAATCAAAGATCTTGTTCTCGGTGACGGCTCAACAGGTTGTGCAGCGATGGATCGAATTGTCCTCGAAGGAGTCAGCAAATACCATTACACGAACCATCCAACCTACAGGAGCCGTTCCATTCCCTCGATTGCTCAACACTGGGACGAACAGTCCGATGTGGCAGTATCCAATCATTCGGCCAAGCTGCTTTTACGACTCCAATCGCCGATATACCGGCGCGGAGATGCGACAGATTGTCGAGCTAAGCCGTTCGTACATGCAGGGATATCGCGCGAACCAGGGAGACTTTGATCTCGATGAAGCACGACTACTCCGATCGACTGAACACGTCAGTGTCCTGCTCCTCAACTTCGGCGATATCAATCGTACACCTCGTTTCAACGGCAGGCAGCCACTATCCAGGGATCTCGCCGAGACCGATCAATACGCTGTGCTTCCGCGTTACCTTGTAAGGAACACAGCTCATATCACAATCCTTCTTGAAGCCAACGGCATCGAGCGTCATCGAGAGCTCTTTAACCAATATAAATGCTTGAGCGTGTTGGCCATGGCGGATGGCGAATCTCCTGCTATCGCAGCAGTCTGTTCCAGTGATCCACTTGGTACCTCGAGGCTGGAACTCATCCGCCGGATTGAGCTTGAAGGCGAACGCTTGGCCTGGGTAGCCCATGCCGCGACATTCCGCGTGCTCTGGGGAAAGGTCGAAGAATCCACAGATGGAGGCATCACCGGCGACCGTGGAGTCAGAAAGAACCTCCGTGTTGCCCTTGAAGAAGGCGCTGATCCAGCAGATAACATGGAGGCAACCGTCTGCCCTGACACCTTAGCTGTAGCACAAGCATCCACCACATACATTGAAGCTTCGCCAGTGGATGCAGAGGCATTGTTCCACGAGTGTCCGACATTCCGGACCGGGAGCCTGAACGACTGCAAGCGCATGCACATGCCTGAAATTCGAGTTTGCGCTTTCCACATCAATGCCCATGCCTTTCAGTCAGGTATTACGGCCGGTAAGAACGCCATTATGAAGATTTTGATCACGGCCGTGGCAGACCAGGTGGACATCATCGCGTGCGATGCTAATCAGTTCACGAACCGCAACTTCCGGGGCGATCGACATGCCGATCCAGGAACCGGAGCTGTCCTAACCATCCTTGACCAGATTCTTGTTTCTGCGAACAAGAAGCGCGAGCCGAGTAAGCGCATCACCTATAACTGGGAGGTCTCAACCCTCGCCAGTGAGCAGCTCGCTGCTTTGGAAGGTCTGGATGCCGATTGCGACTGCTTGTTGCAGATCGCCTTAAATTACGGCAAGGACATGCATACGTTGCGGTCAAGGACATCCGATATTCCGGATGATCGTGGACGTGTCGGATATGAAGGGCCTCCACGCCAGAAAGAGACTACCGTTAAGGTCAACGAACTCCTTAAGCACTTGAATCACCTTGATCTGTGTCTGAAGAGCAGCGATTTGGGTTACCATCACCCTTTTCAGTGCAATTTTTCACTTGCCAGCCGACACAAGATCAGAGTTCCTGACCAGCAATCCGCCGAGAAACGTGGCGAGAAAAAATGCCGAGCGGCTTGAACGTTTGAAGGAACAGTCTCGGCAGAAGAAACAAGCTCGCCAAGCTGGCTGGCACCAGCCCTGGTCCTTGGGAGCGTCAAGCTCATGGTGGTATACCGGTTCATCTTCGTCATCTTGGAACCCCGGTTACCGAGGCTACAGGGACTGGTAGGTAGTCTCTGCTCAAGGAAGCCGATATGCCGGCTAGAGCACAGCTAAATGCCACAAAGCTAAATGCAGTTTAAATGACCCAGATATATCTAAACTAAAGGCCTTATAGATTTGACTTTAACTTGATGAATTGACTTGAAAAAGAATATTTCCGATATTCCGGAACGTTCGATGCAACAAATATGCCCTTCGTAGATTTGTAGAGATTATCTGACGCGATCTAGATGAGCCAGAATGGCATCTACGGTCGAGTTCTGCGAAGACAGAACTTTCTGAATTCATTTACATTCTTTTGCACTTTAGCGATCGTAAGCTTCGACACGAAGAAAATTTGTGTCTGTTTTGTGTTTAGTAGGGTCCTAGGTTCCCCTAGGCGTGTCTACGCTATACGTGTGTAGCACCTGTTCTTGTACATATCCTAGTTTGTAGCTCTTCAGTCCGCTTCCGACTTAATTCATTTGGCTCAAGACTTCGTAGCCCAATACTGCATTCACTGCCATAGAAAAGGTGTGCTTCGACGCCGCTCGCACACCTTACGCACTCGTGTGACTGCTTGGTGTTTCGATCAGGTCCAGTTAGTCAACTGCCACTTCTGGGGGAACTTACCCCTCACCCCCCTCCCCCCCTCCCACCCCCCACCCACTGTAGGTAGTGGTGGTGGTAGTAGTAGTAGCAGTAGTAGCAGCAGTAGTAGTAGGTAGTAGGTAGTAGGTAGTACGTAGTAGGTAGTAGGTAGTGGTAGTGGTGGTGGTAGTAGTAGTAGCAGTAGTAGCAGCAGTAGTAGGTAGTAGGTAGTAGGTAGTAGGTAGTAGGTAGTAGTAGGTAGTAGGTAGTAGGTAGTCGGTAGTAGGTAGTAGGTCGCTGGATCAGAATAGACAACCATTGGACTGAGACATGTCGATCGCTGGATCAGAATAGACAACCTCTGATTCGGATTCGTTCCATTTCATTGTAAAACGACTTCACTTGAAATCAACGGCAACAAACTCTCCCAGCAAAATGTGCAACTCCAATGCACCCACAAGTCTGATTGAGCAGGGTATTGTTGTTCGATGTCATTCTGGGTCTTTCACTTCAAACGGTTTGGAGAAAAAACGACAAATCATGCCAGATCTAGAAAATCTTCGGTCGCTTTGAAGCCTTCTGTGTGTGAAAAAGAATATCTGGTGCGTGTCGCAATCCCTCGAGACGGTCGAAAAAAAGATCTGAAAAGGAAACATGCACACGGCCAAGTAGTTTGGAAGAAGAATCGTTTTCAAGGTCATGTTTTGTGGATAGTCTTGGTTCGCATTGCTTGTGTTGGTTTCACTTGGCTCCTCTTAGGTGATTCGACTGAGACATGCCGGTTCGGATCGCTGGATCAGAATAGACAACCTCTGATTCGGATTCGTTCCATTTCATGGTCAAACAACCTTGAAATAAACATCAACAAACTCACCCAGCCAAATGTGCACCTCCAATGCACCAACAAGTATGATTGAGCAGGGTATTGTATCAATGCGGGCTCGAGCTGGTGGCCGGCGGCATGCCGAAGGCTGTAAATAAAACAGGACTGCACATTCGTCCGCCCATATGTTTAACAAGCACGACAACCGAATGCTGTCAGTACTAACTACCACTCGCTGTGGAACTGGTCTAAGGTTGTAGCAGTATAGTCGGTTGCACTTCCTCACGATTCTTCAACCAAGGACCCAATCAAAACCTGCGAAACACATCAAAACACTACATGTCGGACATCACCCCAGCAAGCGCGGCTGCCCACATCCTGGTGCCTCCTTAGGAGAGATCTGCTCCAATTCTTCTCCGTCTTTGAACTTGAAGAAGTTTCCAGATGTGCTCCGATGGATTTCGACAATTGGAACGTCCATAGAGTAGAGGCCCAATTCAACGCGGCCATCCCGCGATTGGTACCTGCATGAACCATGCTTCAGGCCACGCACGAAATAGCCCTCCATGGTGGCACCATCTGGGAACTTGACCTTTGCTGGGCCCGTGACACTGCCCACCGCGTCAACCGTGAATTGCACTGTTTCCCAAATTTCGCTGCACATCATAACCCCTTTCGCAATTCCATGGTCCCACTGCTCTTTGGCCATGTCAATGGCTCTGATCAAGGAAGTCTCAACCACAGTGCCCTCAAGAGGAAACTCTTCGGCAAAGGCATAGATGCCGATTCGAGGTACCTGAAGCCATCCTGCCTGCTTTTCCTCTGCAAGTTGCATATCGGTTCTTTCCCGCTTTGCCCCCTGCTGAATCTGCAGGACAAATCCTTTCGTCTGTTTCACAACCTCCAAATGTCGATTGAAAGTCCGGAGCCATTGGGCATCAGCTTCATGTTTATTTGCTGCCTGCAAGCGTCAGGCCCATGCGTGTATCTTGTTCATTCTTGTTTATTACAGAAATCTCAACAGCTGTGCCCAAGTCCTCGTTGTCGGTGTTGGGGTTATACACCGAACAACCATGCTTTTCCAGAATGTCCTCAAGCAACAAGACCTATGATCTATATTTTATACTTTTGATCAGCTGCCAAACAAGATCAAGCAAGGTGAAATGCTACGGTGCTACCGGAAGTCTTGCGCAGTCCTTCATGTTTTTCGAAATCTGGAGCCAAGGTGGTTCGTACTTTGTAGAAAGGACCACATGAGGCAAAGGTTGGAAGGCGGCCTTGGCACCAAACAAGCTCCGAAGGACCACAATAGCAAACAATCGCTCAGCTGCAGGCATCAGTCACTATATAGGTTTCCTGACAGTTGCCATCATCATGTCTGTATCAAACCAACCAACAGTGCCCAAACCTTGGTGTTCCACCATTGCATGAAGAAGCTGCCACACTCTCAGGAAACATCAGGAAACTGCAGAGACACAGCGGTCCTCGGTCTCGTCCACATGCGCCGTGCAACACCAGAGCGGCCGCTGCATGGTGTACACAGCTGCTTGGTGGAAGTCAGCTGCTTGGACCAAAAAAGGATTTTGAGTGAAGACGTGTTTGTCTTGTCTTTCGCGTGAAAATCCTATTTTGTGCAAGCTGCGTGGTTGGTATCTGCATGAAACTTCAACACGCTCAAGCAAGAATAAACTTTCCAGCAATCTAGGCTCTTAGGGGCAGCTACAAGCATACTCCTCGTGTGAGAAGCCATGTGTGCACCAAGCGGAACGTTGACATGCTCTAAGAAATTGATCAAGCGCCTTAACAACTGCATGAAAACAAAGGCATCTGAATCAATATCAACAATAGCATGGCACCAACTGTTCGCTGGTCTTCAACTTGACATTGCGCAGTCCTTAGATTGACCAAATGGAATATGGAGTACGCCTTTGCTCGAGGAGTGAAGCACAATGTCTTGTCCGCGGTCAAGAAAGAACCCGTTCATTTATGGTGGAACTTCCCACATGCAAATCATGAAAAGTTGGCTGCGTTTCAAGGTTGTCCTTGCTTCAATGGACTAAAAGACTAATCATATGCAACAAATCTCTGCACTAAATTTTCGGAGGGATTGTGGCCGTGCAAGTCCAAACCTATGATCGTCCTACAATGACTACTTTTTTACTTTAGCAAACAATAGTAAACATGGTAATTAAACAATTTGTGAAAGAAAAGATGCACAGCCACCTTGCTTTGTGTTTGTCCTGTACACCAGCCTTCTTGCTCCGCATACTTTCTCACAACTCCAAAATAGAGAAATCATTTCCAGAGATTACCGTTAGCAGATACTCCAGAGTAGGCCAGCTACCCGCTATCCTAAGCTGAACGTTTGGAGTGCGTCCTTTGTACTCGGTACCCATCAGCCCCATCAGCTTGGTCTTTGAATTTCTGCTCCGATGCCCAGACTTCTTGGAGACATCCTCTCGCAAATCCAACAATTCGAGGAACAAGCCCACGCTCTTCGTGGCTTTTCGGGAAGCATGAGTTTCTGAGTGTTAGACAAGGAAAGTACTTCAGTTGCATACAACTACTCCGAAACATGAGGAGAATAAATGACCAGCTCACAGACCTGCTGACTCAAACTGACTGCTTCACCAAACCTCTCCTTTCAGCTGATTCCTCAGATTCCCCAAAACAGTGTGGTCACACTTGGGGTTCTTACGGTAGCCCAATAAGTTTGGGTTTGATCGAGGGTGTTCGGCCATTTTGATGACCCTTACATCAATTAGTTTGCGCTCTCGTTGTGGTGCGTACACCTTTTCGGACTTGGTGCTCATTTTTCGGATTCGGGTGCGAGGGGATCCTCGTGTTTGGAAGTATTGACTTTTCGTGGGAGGTGCAGCACTGTGGACTGTGGTGATGGTCTGGAGCGTGTTCTGATGATTTTTTGGTGGAAACGTTGCAGAATTTGGGGCATGTATTTCGCTTTGGCATCTCAAATTGGTCTGTGGAATGTTTTTGTTGCAACACGCTCTGGCGGCCCTGCGCGACGTGAGTTGACACGTGCAGAATTCGCTGCACACACAGCAATTTGTAATCCTCGAAATGCACATTTGGGATCATTTCGTGGCAGGCACAGCCACAGCACTTTGTAAACCTCGAAGTGCAGAAAATTGTCCGACAGGAGTGGTACTTTGTGAACCTCAAAGTGCAAATGCCGTGGTGGGCACGCGCCTGTGAACCTGGAGGTGCAGCTTGCGGACCACGAACTGCAGATTTTGGGATATATTTTCATATGCTCTCACATGTACTGTGCACGCTCGCTCACATGTGTTTCATGTGTATGTGAATACATAACAGTACATACATATATATATATATGTCTTCTGCTCTGCACTCGCAATCATCCATTTTTCGTGGCCAGACTAGCTGTGCTAAGTTGCTTGCCAAAGGAACCTTGCTCATTTCGAGCAGGGTAAGGCCTTTAAGGCTCACCCCCCAAATCCCTGATCCCTCAGGGCTTTGGCCACACATGTGCCTACGACAGCACACATGGCCCACGGATACGGTTGTGCCTTGACTGTCATGAAGAGTCTGTTGGCATCCGCTCCTGTCAGCTGAATGTGTGGCCGTCCAGTGCGGCTACAACGTCCTTGTTGTGTATTGCACTGTTTGTTTAATGCAGACAGATTAATGCCATGAGACAGCAAAAAAGCTGGTTTCTTCCAAAGTTCGTTGAACTGACAGAACTCCAAACTGAACACCAGAAAGAATGCATTGCCGAATCAATTTCTGCATAGGTGGCATATCCCAAGCCATGCTAGATAAAGGCTTCTCCAAAACGACCGGAATAAATTGATGGATACACAATGTAAAAAGCCGAACGCTCCAAAGCCAAAGCAAATTACCATTGCGAACTTTGCCTTTGCGCCAGAGAAGAAAGTCCCCATAAATACTGACTTGTACGTAGTGGTCCGGGTCCCAAGCCATCCCATTTTCTAGCACGTGAATACGAAGTACACGGCATTCCACACCAGACGAAAAGCACCCTGCCGCTGCGAATCCAATTGAAAAGCTTGTGTTCAATGTCCGTAATCAACACATCATGATGCTGAAACATGCATATATCAATATGATAACACACAATGCCCTGCTTAACTCACTCTAGCTGTGCCTGCAGAAACCTCAAGGGCGAAGTGAGACGGCAAATCTCTCAATGAAAACACATCTTGTTCCCAAGGAGGCTTCAAAGTCATCTGGCAGCCACTGGCCCGTTCATCACTTTTTGCATGTTGCGAAGAGACCAGCGACAATACTCCAGACTTCCTCGCGATAACTGGGCCAGCAATGACTGGCTCTTTCCAGTCTTGGTGTATCGTCGAACACTCTGATCGGTGCCCCACCGTCCTTGAGCCTTCACGGCCGCATATTCTCTGGTCTTGCTGGCCAGGTCGCCTGCAGCTCAACTGATGCGGGTGGAGTCCCGGAACGCCCATCAAAGAATTCCTTCATGGTGAAGGGGAAGATCTTGGCCTCTTTGCTCTTGCCCACCATCTGCTTCGCCAGCACTTTGCCTAGCCAAATCGCTCCGGAGTATTCAGAGCCATCGTGTTGTCGAAAACACTGACCTTGTCTGGCCGCTTTTCGTCGAAGTCCCGGACAATGATTGCATGCCACTGGAACTGCGCTCCAGCCCCTGCCACTGGTCTGACCAGGTGCTTCTCCCCTAAACGCTTTGGATCACTTTGATGGCCATGTCCATGTCCTTGCGTCCGTGGCTCCACAGCTGCGTAGCCAGCCCATACGCCAACATCTTTGGCATTGGGACCCGGCTCTGAGGCGGGCCACTCCTTCCTCCACCCCCGTAGTGCACGGCAGGCCCTTGTCAAAGATCCTCGCGCCCTCACATGGTGGAACTCCACGCTTGCCATAGTTTTTTCTCCGTCTGCCACATGTTTGCCTTCTAGGTAAAGATGATCCATATAATCTGTCAGCAGCGCGTCCAGTTGTGATTCTTGAGGTTGCTGAACTCCTGAAGCCCGGCTTCTGATTCTCCACCACCTGCGAGATGGATCGTCTCTCTAAATGACTCAGCACACTCATCTTCGCAAGGCTGTTGGCTTCCTCGCTCAAGCCATTCACTGCCTGCAAAGTCCTTCTCTTCTTTACTGGCGGCACACTCTTGATGACAGGGTCTGGCAACTGCCTCTTCTTGGCTGCCGTCGTGGCCTTTTTGAATTGGGCTCCAGCACGACAAGCGTCCGGGAACTCTTTCGCGCTGGAAGTTGCAAGCTGCTCCCACTCACCACTCGCCGAACCTGCTGCTTCTGGACGGGGTGGGGGCGACTTGCTAAGAGGACCGGCTGGATCTGACCTCTTGACGGCCCGTCTGCGACATTGTGTTCAGAAGGGGCCCATCTGGTCCGCACTGAAAAACCACCCACCAAAGAAAGCTCTGCCACCTTTTGAGCCGTACGCAACATACCGAAATTTGTAGCCCTACCCTTGCACATGGTCATACTCAGAGCAAAGTTGTCCATCATCACCAAATGACGTTTGTTTCGATTTCTGTGTGAACGACAAAGGTGTCTGGCCAACAAAGAGCGTGACCCTCTTTTGCAGTAATGTGACCGCTGGTATCCCTCCTTTGACCTATCATCACCGTAGACCAATCTTGAGGCTTCAACATCTCAGGGGGCACCTCAGGGAAGTCATTGTTGTAAGTGTATAGGTCCTCAGCCGTTGTACTCACTGGAGAAACCCGAGCCATGGCGAAGTCCCGAAGCGCATCCTGTCCTTCATAGCGCTCACGCGGTCGCCATTCTGAAGGATCAAGGTGCTTGAAGCGCCATCGGTCCTGCCAAGCGCCCAGCTTCCGAACATCACTTTCAGGTAATTCCAGCTTGCAAACCCCGTATCCTGAAGCAGTAGTGGACCAGGCGCGCAGTTCACCTACGAAAAGGGGTACCAATCCAATAAATATCTCCACCTCTCGTCGTTCCAACTTGTTCAGATACCCAGGAGGTCCACCCTTCTCTATATAATCATAGCGCGCACGAAAAACGGATATACCTGCGCGATTGAGAACGCACAAAGTAACTGCATGATCCAGCAATTTCTGCATGGCCTTCCAATCCACCTTCATTGAGAGAGTCTCTTCAAATGCTAGCAAGATGTTCCATGCCCGAGTTGGACTGGCCCGTACTTGACCTGTATCTCCATCGACGACGCCGCCGAACGTTTGAAAATATGTTGTGGCCCCCACTTCCTCATGCAAAGCAAATCCCATCCCAGAGAGATCGTCCTGCATATGCTGCAATCAGCAGACTTCCTGGAGAGCGACAAGCTGTGTGCACATTGTCGCAATAAGGCATAGCCACAGCTTCGTTGCCACTCAGCAAAGGGGCAGGATACCCGTCTAAAACAGGTTTGTCTCGTCCCACTCCCAAAGACCGAACCGCCGACTGCTCATGCATTTTTTGAATAAGATAAAAACTCCAGCTGAACCCCATGGGCAAAACATTGACGCATGGTGAAATGTGGGAACAACCAGAATTGAAGCCCACCTCCCCCAAATTTATTTTGCCTCTTGTAAGTTAAATTGCGGCGCAAGCAAAAGAAATTGGAAAGTTCTGAGGAAATCTTGGC